TGCTGGGGCTGATCTTGATGCTGGGTCTGGCTTAGATTTCAGTCAGTTTGAACTACAACTAATAGCCTTAAAGCCTACCCCCAATGGGAAAGATTATTGTAGGACAACAGACAGTAGTGTTATGACCTCTTAGTGGAGGCTTCTGTTAGGAATGCAACAGTAGTCCCTTTGGGGAAAGGGCAAAACCAAGAAACTACTGAAACCAGGAGTCATAGGGCCAAGGAGCTGTCTCATTTTGTAGGTTGGTATCATCAGTTTTCTGAAAAACCTTTACTAAAATGGATGTGAAACTGACTAATTTAGGGGCAGTATCTTTGGTTTTGAATGTTACAGAATGGAAGAGAATGTTTGGGTTGATATCGCACCCACAACTCCTATAGAACAATCACATATGTTGATACACAGCAGTTTATTCCCAAGGGATCAGGTAGCCTGGTGGACTGGATAAAAGCTGCTGTGAGGTTTGTTTACCTGAGAAGAGGGACTTCTTTCTCCTGTAAATGCTGTTTGGAACCCCCAGATGAAGTGGCTGTACATTTGATGATAGCAAGCCATGCTGAATTGGCTTTAAGATGATTGGGATATTCATCTACTAAATATCCCCCTTAACCAGATCATGGTAACTGGTCTGGTTAAGGGGGAGGGCTTTTACCTATGGGTTGTATCTACCTTTTGGCTATTGTAAATAGAGCTGCTGTGAACATGCGTGTATATATGTTTGTTTGACTACCTGCTTTAAATTTTTGAGGAGTGTATTATCTTGGAGTGAAATTGCAGGGTTAGGTAGGTAGTAATTCTGTTTAACTTTCTGAGGCATCACCAAACTGCTTTCTATAGTAGCTGAGTCATTTAACATTTCCACCAGCAATGTATAGGCTTCCAATTTCTTTACATCTTTGACAACACTCATTTTTCTGGCTTATGTTTTGTTGTGTTTTTGTTTTTTTTAAAATTATTGCCATCCTACTGGATTATAAGTAGTATTTTATTGTAGTTTTGACCTACATTTCCCAAAGGAATAATGACATTGAACATCTTTTCATGTGCTTGTTGGTTATTTGTATATCTTTTTCAGAGACATGTCTATTCAAGTTCTTTGCCCTTTTTTCAGAAAAATTGGGTTATTTGTGATTTTATATATTCTGGATAATAGACTCTTATCAGATAAATATGTTACGTACAAATGGTCTTCCATTCTGTGGTTATCTTTTCACTTTATTGGTAATGTCCTTTAATGTACAAAAGTTTTTAATTTTGATGAAGTCAGATTTATTTTTTCTTTCATTGCTTTTGCTCTTGATGTCATATCTAAGAATTCATGTCCAAATCTAGTAATGAAGGTTTACCCCTATGTTTGGTTTTATTTCTCATATTTAGGTCGTTGATCCATTTTGTGTTAGTTTTTATATATGGTGTGAAGTAATGGTCCAGCTTCATTCTTTTTCATGTGGATATCACCCTCTTAGCACTGTTTGTTGAAGAGACAGTTCTTTCTTTATTAATACTGGCACAGTTGTCAACAATCAGTTGGCCATAGATGTCTATGTTTATTTCTGTTCTCTCAGTTGTGGTCTATTGATCTGTATGTCTGTCCTTTTGCCAGAGGCACAATGTTTCAATTATTCTAGTAATCTGTAATCAATGGTTTTGATTACTTGACCACCAGGGAAAATTTTGAAATCAAGAAGTATGAGTTCCTCCAAATTTCTTCAGTACTGTTTTTGGTATTTGGGTTTCCTTACCCTTCCAATGTGAATTTTAGGATCAGCTTTTCCATTTTTGCAACAAAGGCCATTCGAATTTTGAAAAAGATTGCATTGAAAATATAGTTACATTGTATAGTAACTATATTAACATCATTAATTCTTCCAGTCCATGAACACAGAATGCCTTCTCATTTATTTAGGTCTTCTTTCGTGTGTTTTTTTTCCAATAACATTTTGTAGTTTTTAGTGTGTATGTCTTTTACCTTCTTAGTTAAATTTATTCTAGGTACAGTTGACCCTTGAACAACGTGGGCATTTGGGGTACTGACCACGCTTACAGTCAAAATTCGTGTATAACTTAAGTCAGCCCTTCCCATACAGATTCCCAACTGCAGATTGAAAATACAGTTGAGCCCGGCCAGACGTGGCTCAGCGATTGAGCATCGACCTAGGATCCAGGCGATTGGGGTTCGATTCCCAGTCAGGGCACATGCCCGGGTTGCGGGCTTGATCAATGACTCTCTCTCATCATTGATGTTTCTATCTCTCTCTCTCCCTCTCCTTTCCTCTCTGAAATCAATAAAGATATATTTAAAAAAAAGAAAATACAGTTNTTGATGTTTCTCTCTCTCTCTCTCTC